AATTCATCATCATTATCTTCTGGCCAAGTATTTTTATTTGCACTGTGTGTTTTGTCATACCTACCGATGCATCTGAACAGGAGATGACTTGTTTGAAGGAACTGTTATATTTACAACACTGCACTGCCTCCTTGTGGGAGAGGACTATGTCTGCATTCAGGGAAGATCTGGAAACAAAAATACAAAATTATGTATAAACTTACTGCTCGCATAAAACAGACCTGATCTGCACCTGTTGAAGTGCATTTGGTAAATCAGTTCACTAATCATTTTGAATTCTGATTTCCAGTCTTCATGCAGACTAGAAGCCAGTGCAACAGTGACATCTACTGGTACATGCCAGTACTACAGCCTGCAGTTATAACAAAGAGCAAGGACATGCTGGGTGCATGTAAGTCTCTCATTCTCATTACATGTTTGTGTAAGTTTCCTCTTTGAGTATGATACAGCTGAGTCAGTAAGGATTAAGGGTTGTTGTGGAGGAAGGTGAAAGTATTTGACAATGTGCATTTTTTCATCCTCTGGCTAGATCAGCAGTGAATGAATACAAGTGTGGGGGAGGGGCACATACTAGAGTTTGTTTTTGTTTTATTTAGATGTTCATTAGCAATACATCACTATTCTTCCTGGAGTCCATTACAAAACAATACTAAGCATAACAACAGAAATATATATATTCACTTAAATTCACAAAAAATATTCAAGGTGAACTCAGAGTGGGTGATGTCATACAACAAAATATACAACCAACTAGACAGGTAACATTTGCAAAGCAAATGCATAATGTTAATCTTCACATGGTCTAGCCTAACAAACTACTGTACATCTCAGCTTATTATTGATCAAACACATTGATTCATATGACCAGCCCCTCAAAATCTGTCCTGCCACTTGCTACATAATGTAACCCAACACCACAGGGTGTCTGCTACAGAACCAGTTACCATGGTGTTAGACGTCTGATCTAGGTCATTGACCTTGTGTTTAGAGAAAAAAAGAAGTAGAGGAAACAGAACAGGGAGAATATGTTTCCCTTCTGCAAATTCAAAGTAAATATACATAAATAATTATGCCTAGAGTTCCACACTTACTTCATTTTGAGCTGCAGTAGAGCCAGCTGGTCTGTGACCATGGCCAGACTCTTGGCCAGCGGGGAGTAGTGACAGCACATCAGGTCCCCGCGGATCTTGTGGCTCTTCGCTGTGACAGTGATGAGGCAGGACTGGTCAGCTGTGTCCCACACCTGAAAAAACATGCAACAATTATTAGAAAAATCTCCATATTTCCTCACTTACATTCTCTTAATTTAGGGAGAAGAATATCCAAATTAAACAAATCTGGAATTATGAATCCAAAAATTATTTTGAAGTCTTGAAATAAATCTAAAAGAAAAAAATTGTGTCCAAGTCAATAATTTTATTTACAATGGAGCATGAAGATTCTCATTGTGTGTAGATCATCAATATTCTGTTAAATCCATCTCATAGATGTATCAACAACATTTAAACAGACACTCCTGGCCCCAAAACTCAGTAACAGTTACATGTAATGCACAATGTATAGTGGAACTATTCCTGTCCTTGGTGCTGAATACTCTAATAGTGTTATGATACTGCAGTAGAGCTTCCTGTTTTGGTATCTCATGATCTGGGCATGCTAGGGTCACAAATTTTGGGTGGTAAATAGTTGTTGTACTCTGAAAGAAGTTATGTAAGTTTTGGCTCCCTAGCAGCTAGCATTCGAACTGCAGGGGCATTTGTTTACAAATTTTGAAGGATAATAACTCAACTGGTAGGTAGCTGAAGTGATGCTTGACGAAATAAATTACTAATAAAAAAACTAGGGAAATCCTCTGAGAGGGGTGCAGTTTTGGCTTTTATTTTGTGTGTTTGCTTTGTCCCAGTACATCCTGAGTACAAGGGAGGCCAGTCTAGACATGTATGGTAATATGACAGACACCTTGACAGTCTTGTCTGTAGACACACTGAAGATCCTGTTCTCCTCAGCGCTGATGTGGAGGTGGAAGATGGGAGCATTGTGGCCCCGTAACATCCCTGTGGGTTTGCTGAAAAAATAAGACACATTTTGATAATTGTTATTGCATTGGTGGGCCGATGACTGAATATACCAATCCTTAATGTCTATCACAACTAGCAGTTCAACCAATGACAAAATGGCAATTAGTGATTCGACCAATGAGAAAGTGGCGGCATGTTTGTCAAATATCTGCATTTTTATGTTTCTATTTTGCATTTCTACCTTTTGAAGGAGGATCAGTCGATTGCGAGGAGCTTACAATTGGTGGGGCTAAGTCACAAGGGTCTGTAAATGGCTGCCTTTCAGCACTTTGATAACTTTAATATGACAGGGTACATGTTACCCTGATAAAGGGACACATTCAGTAAGCACAGGTAAAACCATAAAAGTTGAACACTTTGCATGAAATGTACAGGAATAATAATTATTGTGCTTGTGTCTTAACCACACAGAGAGAAATATTGATAACCTTACCTTGGTACATATGGATTCCAAGTCCTAACTATTCTATCCATTCCTAGAAAAAGAAACAAAACACGTATTAGATACTTTTCACTTTTTTTAAATTTCTAAGTATCATCTGTCTATATAGCTAGCATAACCGCTCTTTGGCGTAACACACCAGCTTCACAAGTATGCAGCGTGGCGGCAGCTGGCTACATTTCACCGAAGGACCAGTTACACCTAACCTTTTCACATCTAACTGTGAGCATTGTTATAAGCTTTCTAGTGATGATTCCCCTGCTGTATTTGGTGGCAATGAGTTCCACTCTACAATTATTGAACACCTCAATCCTTGGTTGATGGCACTGGTACTTAAAGGCATGTAAAGGAAGGTATACTCAGTAGTTGGTAGGTCACATACCTCCTGTGACTATAAGGTTCTTCTCCTTAGAGAAATCAAACGTCTTGACTCCCTTGTAGATCTTAAAGACTGTCTCATCAGTGTCCAGTCTCTTCCTGGTCTGTGTGTAGGTGAGGGAGGGCATCTTGGACTTGCTGGCTGTGGACTTGTCGTGAGATATTTCCTTCAGCTGTTGTTCCACATGGGTACTGCCAGATACACAA